CCCGCGACCATGGAGATATAAACAGCTTTTTATAAGGAAAAATAAATAAAACAAGGTCTTTGTCTGCAACGATTAGACATGTTTTTTATTAATTGTTATTAGTGATTATCTCATTTTCGGCTAAAAGAATTGACAAAATCCTACACACTGTGCCTTTAATCATCTTAATACATTTGTTTTAGTGACGGTACGAAACATAAAACAAATAGATAAAATACATTTACAAGTAAATTCTAAGACTAAACTATACAGAAATGAAAACAGTAATAAACAGAAATGCATTATTTAGTTTAAGTTGAATCTGAAGATAGTAGAATTCATAATAAAGCAGCAACAAACTTGTACCAACAAATAAAGTGAAGCACAGAATCCAAATTTCCTGCAATAATTTAAATGCAAATATGTAAAAACAAAAAGAAAATGTTGAATAAAAAGTTTTGAGCAGCTTAGTGGTTAACACTGATTTCTAACAGCAAAAAGGTCCTGGGTTCAAACTCCAGTTTGGGTCTTTCTGTGGGCAGTTTTTGTATGTTCTGCCTGTGTTTGTGTGTTTTCTCCCACAGTCCAAAACATGCATGCTTAGGCTGCCTTCTGGCCTTGAAAAAGAGATCTGATTTCAATGGGATCTATGTGTTTAAATAAAGGAAGTACAGTTACTCTGTTGCAGCTTTACTGAAGTACAAGAAACATTTCATATAAATGTAAAAAGTAAGTCATTAAAATTTTTCTTTAAATAAAAGTTATTTAGTTATATTTTAGAGCAGGAGGACCTCTTTCAGATGTGTGGAGGATTTTATTTTTGCAAATGAGCTCCTAAGTTAAGGAGAATCCTTGTAGTTYAATATGTATTCATTCATTCATTTTTTTAAAACTGCTTTTCCTTTTCTGAGTGACGGGGAGCTGGTGTCCAGCCCTTCCCACTGACACACAGAGACGATCAAGACAAACAACCGTTCACTCACTCACACCAGGGGACATTTATTGGTTTTTGACAGTAACCAGTATATTTAACATGCACGTGTTTGGTCTGTGGGAAAAAAGAACACATGGGAAAAGAAGCAAACTTCACACAGCTGTGTGCTAACCACAGCTGCTCACAGTGTTTAATGAAATTACAAAATAAAACATGTCCACAAATTATATTTAAAACATGTAAATGAAAAGGCAGTCTGCACATATTTGTCAGTTCACAAAACATGTTGAACGAACCACAGAGACAAACTCTTACATTAAATGCACTGCTCTAGGTTKTCATTACCGTTTTAGCTCATATAGACTTAAGCTGACATAAACATGATTTTAAAATGATGCAGTGTTCTGGTAAAATTCACTTTTTTATTTTTTGTTGATTTTCTGCGCTGTTTTAGTCTGCTTGTAGTTTAGCAATGACAGAGGAAATGAATGAAGCCATTCAGTCCATGTTGATAAGGCTTCCAAATTAATTTAAATTTGTTTCACAAAGCCTGCAGCTTTCATTTATAGCCATCTCCATCTGTTCACTGATTCTTTCCCTAACGAGACCCCAAATTTTGAATCTGATTGAAACAGTATTTATATACATTATTTCATCTGTTGGGGCAGCAGCATCAGAGCCAGGGACCTAAAAAGGCTAAACAACCTGATAAAGAAGGCTGGTTCTGTTC